ATCTGTATGAGAGTTAAAATCTCATTCTCCTTCTTCGTTGAAGACCACATTTCGACTAATCACAAACTTCTTATTGTTTGGATTGTACAACTTGTAGCCATTCGAATTAACATCATAGCCGATGAAGATAAAACTCTCGCTTTTATCATCAAGCTTCGTTCTTCTCTCGTCGGGTACGTGAACATGGGCTATACTTCCAAAGGTTCTCAAGTGGGAAACGCCAGGCTTTCTACCACTCCATGCTTCTTGTGGTATCTTTCCCCATACACTTCTTGTTGGAGATCAGTTTGTTAAGTAGACTGCACACGCTACTGCTTCTGCCCAAAATTCCTTGGGTAGTTTCTTGCTTTTGAGCATGCTTCGTGCCATGTTGAGGATTGTTCTGTTCTTTCTTTCTGCCACACCATTTTTCTGGGGGGATCTAGGAACTGTCATTGGTCGAAGAATTCCATTTGCTTCACATAACTCTTGAAACTCCCTGAAAGTAAATTCTCCACCTCGATCGGATCTCATGGCTTTGATCTTTTTACCGCTTTCTCTCTCCACTGCTGCTTTGAACTTCTTGAAGACTTCAAAAACTTTTGACTTCTGTTTCAAGAAATATATCCATGTTTTTCTTGAAAAATCATCAATGAAGAGAAGAAAATAGTTACTGTTATCGAGAGAGCTTGGCTTGATCGGTCCACACACATTGGTATGGATGAGCTCAAGTGACTTCTTGGCTCTTGTCTCTGACTCCTTTGTAAAGCTTTTCCTGAATTGTTTCCCTACTAGACACCCTTCACAAAGCTGGTCAGGATGGTTGATGCGAGGTAGTCCCTTCACCATCTCCTTCTTAGATAACAACTCTAGACCTCCAAAATTGAGATGCCCAAATCGAAGATGCCAAAGCCATGATGCATCTTTGTAGCAAGCTTTCAGGCACTTTGTAACATCATTTTATATATTGATCAATAACATTCTATTCTTTGATGTTGACACTTTAGCAATGAAGTTATTCTTATCATCTTTTATAGAAATATTATAATTATTCATATGAATATCATAACCTTTCTCTACCAGTTGCCTTAAACTTAAGATGTTACTTTTCATATTTGGCACATAGTAGACATTTGAAATAAATTGATGTCTCCCATATTTCAAACGGATAAGAATATTACCTCTCACTTTCACTGCTATTGTGGAATCATCTCCAAACGAAACATTTTCGCTTACTGACTCGTCTAGCTCCACGAACATGTCTTTTCTCTACACATGTGATTGCTTGCACCACTGTCAAGATACCAGGAATTTGCTTGGCCACCATCAGTTTCCTTTCGTGCTAGAAGAAGATTTTATTTGCCATATGTCTTTTCCACCACGTAATTGGCCTTGTCCTCAATTTTGTTGTTGGGAGCTCTACATTCTGAAGCATAATGCCCAAACTTCTGACAATTATAACATCAAACTTGATATTTGTCATGCATTGAGTTCGGATTGATTCTTCCACGGCCTCATGTTGAGCTGTCTCCTTTCTCATAGTTTTTATTGGAATTATTGTTGTTGTAATTCCAACCTCGTCCACGACCTCGACTTCCACCTCGTCCATGACCTCTACCTCTACCTTGGCCACGTTGGTTTCTATCATTGTGTTGGCTCTCATGCATATCCTTGAGTTGCAGCTTGAGGAGTTGCTCAATAAACTTATGCTTCTTTTTATGCTTCTCTTCGTATGCTTGCAATGATCATTGGAGCTGCTCGATCCTCATTTCTTCCAAGTCTTTAGTTTCTTCAATCGTCACAACGATGTGCTCAAATTTGGGATCCAACGAACGAAGTATCTTCTCTATTATCCTCATATCTTCTAACTTTTCACCATTTCTTTTTAATTGATTAGAAACAGCTACTGCTCTTGAGAAATAATCTGAAATAGACTCAGATGCTTTCATGTGTAAGGATTCAAATTCACCTCTTAATGTTTGGAGACGAACCTTCTTCACTTGCTCGGATCCTTTGTAAGAGGTTTGCAGCTTCTCTCATGCTTCCTTGCTAGATCTTGCACTTGAAATCTTTTCAAAACCATCATCTTCTAATGCTTAATAGATGAGGTAGAGAGCCTTCTTGTCTCTCTTTCTTGAATCCTTCAAATTTGTCTTTTGAACTGGTGTAAGAGTAGCAAAAACAACATCATCCACAATCTCGTTATAGCTTTTCTCTATGATATCCCACACATCTTGTGATCCAAGAAGTGTCTTCATTTTGATACTCCAATTGTCGTAGTTGTTGTTGTTGAGTGTCGGCACTTGGAATGATGCCATACCATTTGCCATATCTCTCAATATAATGAGATTTTGTAAAATTCGATTCCACAGATGAATCCGGAACGCCGAAAAACCTTGGGAAGGACTTGGATAACTCGGGCAAGGGGCTCCAACTCGGCTGACTCGGCTCAACTCGATGAGTCAACTCGATTTTCTGGCAGCAGTCTTCCGGCGATGCGTGGCGGTGCGTCAGAACTCAGATTGAGAAAATTCTTGCGGCGTCGGATTCCTCTCGTCGAGACCTTTGATCTTTCCAACTCACTCTGATGCCACTTTGTTGGAAATAAAACACTCACACAAACAACTTTTATTGAAACTCAAACAAATATTACAAGAGCACTCTCACTCAAAACCAAGAACTACAACTCACTCTTATAAGACTTTGCTTCTTCACTCACTTAGAAGCTCTTAATTTTTCTTGATGCTTAAAACTAAAATGGGGAGGGGTATTTATACTACTCAAGAACAATCATACACCACACAATTAAACTAATTTAAACCATTACAAATTCAACAAATACCTAACTCTCACCTAACTAAATTGATGTAAATAATGACATCATTACTTAAATGATGTAAGCAATGACATCAATTTAGTTTTGGTTTGGGTTTGGGTTTAGGCTCCAATAATGGATCAAGTTTATGATCCAACATAGTGATAAGTCTACGTTGTTGTTAATGGTGTATGTAGACGACATTATTATCAATGGAAGTGATAGTAAAGAAGTTGATGAGGTGGTTCGGCAAATCAATGCAAAATTTTTGTTCAAGGATTTGGGTCATGTTGAGTTTTTTCTTGACATGAGTTTCATCAAGGTTCATCTGGTCTAATGCTTAATCAACAAAGGTATATTGCTGAGTTGTTGGACAAAGTTGGTATGGCTTATTCAAATCTAACCCCCATGCCCATGGTGGTTTATCCTACATTAAAGGCTGGTGAAAGGTCGGCCTTTGAGGACATCATCTTTATCGTAGTGTTGTTGGTAGGTTGCAATATGTGACCTTAACGCGACCGGATATTGCATTTGTTGTTAATAAGGTCAACCAATATATGAATAGCGCGTGTGATACTCATTGGAAGGCGGCCAAGCGTATTCTAAGATATTTGTCTAGGACTTTGGATTATGGGTTGTGTTTTCAGCTCTCTGATGTGCTCAGTCTTGTATGTTATGTTGATGTTGATTGGCCACTTTGGTTGAGGATTGTCGATCTACCACAGGATATTGTGTTTATCATGGTGGGAATCCTATATCCTGGTACTCCATGAAACTAGATCTACTTCGGAAGTTGAGTACAAAAGCCTGGCAAATTTAGTTTCTGAATTGGTTTAGATTGTGCAGTTGTTGAATGAAATTGGGCTGCATGTGGGAGGTAAACCAGTGGTTTGGTATGATAATTCTTCTACCATTTCCGTGGCCATTACTCATCATGCTTGGGTTCAACATATTGAGACAGATCTTCACTTAGGAAAAAGTAAAACCAGAAAAATGTTATATTTAAATAGATATTGTGTTACACTTGCTCTAAATTAATATATATATATATATCACGTTCATTTATATATATTTAAAAATATTGTCAGTGTTTATTATTTTTTTAGAATAAACTACTTTTATTACCTTAGTTTAAAAAAATATTTTTATTAAATTTTAAATGGTAGTAACTTTTATATATAAATTTTAACCATTCATATATTTGTGTTATTTAATGTTAACTTTATTTTTTAGTATAACATCGTAATTTAACTTATATCTTATATAATTTATTATAATAATTTAATTGAACTCTAAATCCATTTATTTAAAATTAAATAATTATACATTTATACACAATATTATATTTAAAATTTTAATTTGATTTCTTCAAATAAGTGAGGGTATTTTATGGTAGTAACCAAAAAGGGTATCCTTTGCTTGTTCTCTTATTTTACTTTTTATTTCGCCACATGCACAGTTCCAGGACTGCATTAACAGTTTACAGAAATTTAAAATTGGGTCCAATTGTCAGATACTTCAATGGCATGTAAGATTAAAAGTTGTAATATTTTATTGGGTGAACTATTAAATGCTTATTGAAATATGAATACTTTGTTTCGGTATTTAAGTTCAAAAAATAACAAAACAGTTTAACGTCATTATTTTATAATAAATCGATCACATAATTACAAATAATCATTATTACAGACAAATTTGATATGGCATGTCTTAGTAGGGATAGTCAACATATCCGAATTCGAAGGTCCCGACTCGATCTTACTCAATAAGTATTTTTTTTTTAAATTTTTGAACTAGCAAATTTTAACCTAGATAAAACTGTTAAAAGACGTTGAAACACGTACCAAGAAACAGCCTCGAGTCTGCACCCAAATGTTTGTTTTTCTTTTCGAACTCCTAAACCCAAAACACATACTAACAGTTCAATTCATTATTTATGCTGAAATCAATGTTATCTTACAGGGAAATCTCAGGGATTTGCAATATCAACAGCAGGATCTGGGGAACAATCTGAGAGAATGGACCATCATGACCTAAAAGATGCTTTTCTTTTTGCCCAAACAGTCCCCTAGAGACATAGTTATTAGTCAAAGGAGACCCCAAAATGATTTTCCCACTTCTTTTGTGCTAACAAAAAGTGATTCTGATTCTGCTATCGTACTCAAAGTTCCATGATGTACACATGCTAAATAAACAGTTTTTTCCCCCATGAAAATGTTGATGCTAAGATTGCTCTACTTGTTTGTAGTATTTGCAGCCATGGCGAATGTCCAAAACTGTGCACTCTTTACCTTTGAAACTCTGGCCAGTACGCCTGACGGCGTTACGTCTCCGATGATTGTCACCTTCTTGGCTGGGAAATCGATGCTGAAGGATGTAACACCTAAAACCAAAAGTATAGAGATTCAGTATTGAATTTTAGTATAATGGAAGGACTGAAATTGTATTTAACTTGGAGAGATAAAATTACCTTCCATTCTTGATAGATGCTTCCTCACCTTTCCTTCACATCCTTTGCAGTGTAATGACACTCTTAACACCACAACCTGAAACCAAGATTGATATTTTTTTTCCGATTACAAGATATTATTGGTTCAGAATCTTACATAATTATTGATACGCGTATACTAAAACTCGTAATCTCTAAAATGACATTTTATTTTATCACTGGATTCTTTGAATGGGTTTGCTTAATAGTGATTAATTATGACTTATGAGGCATAAAAGGAGCAAAACGAACCTGGTCTTTACAAGGCTTCTCTGGGGAAGATGATGAAGATGGCTTGGAAACAACGATTTGATCTTGTTTTACAGCTTGAATCTTCTGTGCTTCAGCAGGAAGATCAAAATCCGATACTCCATCGAAAAACCCAGAATTATTATTACTAATACTATCGCCCAACAGATATCTAGAGGAACCAGGAGGGGTGACGAGATCAATCGCCTTGGTGCTGAAGCTTTTCCTACTAGTTTCTTCAGCTTTGATACCAGTTGGCTTCAATGAACAGTTCTTAGATGAACCCTTTTTCTTCTTCTTTTGATCACTCAACTTAGCAGAAACTGCTGCTGAAGAAGAAGAAGAACCCTTTTTTGCATGATCATTGCTCGACTTGGTTGAACTCTTTTTTTGGTTCTTCTTGAGCTGATGGTAAGGTACTGGGTTGATTGGCGATGGTTGGGACGTGCAAGGGTTGGGAGGTAGAGTTCTGGTGAACCTCTTGGCGTCTCGGATGATGGGGTTGTGGCGGTCAATGGCTTTACCGCTGAGTTGGACGTCGGATGCGGAGGAGCAAGAGGAGGAGGCCACTTGATCCATGCTTAAACAAACGGCTGTTGAAGCTTGGGATGCACAAAAGATATTCATTCTTTTCATTTTTGTTTCTGAAATTCGGATGTTGATAGCTTTGAAGTAGATAACTAGAGAATCTGCAGAAGATAAGAAGCAAGTTCCAAAAGGTCAGTTGTTTTGCTTTTTATGCTGAAGTCTAAGATAAGGAAGAAGGGAGTATCAACTTAATTAAAATTCACCTCGACTTGAAAAATTATATTTTTTTGTAATTTTGAATTATTTAAGTGAATTTGAATTATCGATTTGAGTTCGAGTCAAATTAAAATTTAAAAATTTTGAATTACTAGAAAAATTAAAAATTTGGTTGAGTATGTTACGGTTTTATATTTGGTCTATGATTTTCTTATTTCTTCCATTCCACATTTATTTTAAGTCGATATTTTATCAAATTTCAACCACATAATCCTAAACCATAGTAAAACACGTGTACTTTTAATTCATCGTTCATTTTAAGTTTATTTTAATTTGATAAATATCATCTCTTAAAAATAATTATACAATTTTCGAATTAAAATCGAAATTATATCAACTTTAGCTAGAAGGATGTAAAAAAGTTTGGCTAAATTAGGTTCTTTCACTAGAAGGGCCAAATGAAGAATTAAATCTTATGTAGATGATCCTTCAAAAAAAAAATCTTATGTAGATGCAACGTAGAATTAAATCTTAATGAATGAAAGAGACCTAAAGTGGAGACAGGGCTGGCTTGTTGTTTTACGAGTGATTTAAAGAACTTCATTTAATATATATATATATATAAAAGGTCTTAATGAAAAGGTTTTTTTTTAAATCTTAGATTTTTCACTTAGTTCCATGGATGTCATGTGGTTTGGCCAATTGGGAGCTTTTAAATTCATGTTAATTAGTAATTAGATTTGATTGTGGGAGACAAAACTAAGAGTTCAGGCCAGAGATGTTCATATGACAACATTGGTTTGATCATTAACTGCTGTTAAATTAAAATTATTCATTGTGTTTTTATCTCTGCAAGATAAATAAATCAATAATGAAATCTGTCTTCTCTGTATTGTAGGTGCGGGTGGCCTACATTATCGGTGTATTATTGCCTGTGAATTCAATGCTTTTGAAATGAATCATATGAGACAATCCAGCGGTAAAATCATGCAGCAGCTGGCATTGAGAGAGGTGTAAACACATCATTCCTATTTTTTTCCCTTCAGTTTCAAGGCTTCGTCCTGATTAATCTGGACCGACCTGAGTCGCACACCTGATTTTGGTGGGTGAGTCTCATAATAGAGATTCTCTGCATATACAAGAACTCAAACCTAAGATATTGCTTAAGCGATATTAAGCTATTTATTTGAACTAACCCCGCTGGTCATATTTCTTATTCTTTGTATTAGAGTTATTCGGAAGAAAATGGAATTAATTCCAAAATAGTTGAGGTTTAATATCATGATGATGCATGAGGGTAGTTGAGGATGAGTTGGACACATTCTGTGGTCCATGGAAATGGAACCATGCATTGCGTTATTATTTAAAAATCCAAGGTAAAAAATGCCCACTCTTACTGCAACCAAACACAACAAGGGCAGGCCCGGTTATGTTCCTGCTGCAAGATGGAACATGTAACATTAATGCTTTTTATTCAGATTGTCATAGAACATATTAAGTGGAATCGGATGCTTGGAAATGACTCTTTTATACACCAAAGTTCAAGAATCAATGATATCTGTAAACTTTTGTGATGCATTCCAAGAGAAGTATGGCCCCAGTTGCAGTTCTCCTAAGGAAAGATTTAGGCTTTATTCTAAGTGGATACTCACGAGCAATGCAACCATATAAAGGTACATGTATAGTTTCCTTTGGACGTAAGGTTAAAATAATTATTATATCAAACATTAAAAAAAAAGAGTAAATTTGATTAGAAAAAGGAAGTCTGGACAAGAAGTAAGAAGCGGATAGGACGGGTTGGGCACACCAACTTTTGTTCATGGTCCCCGACCCAAGTGTCGGCTTGTGAGTTGTGTCCCAACTTTCCCTTGTGCAGAAAGATACACCAAAATGAACTGATATTTTGCTCTTAGTTCTGCAATCTTCTAGGCAGGATAACATGATGGAGATTTGTGAATTCAAACTGGGCTATAGATGTCAAAATTCTAATTTATTTACGTACAAAGATGATAACATGGTCGAGCTATTCAATACAAGTTAAACCATTATTCGTGTGTGAATTCTAAATATATAAATTTTTTTAAGAGTAGAGGTATTTGTTTGGAATATTTTTTTCTTGTGTTCATTACTTATATTTATTTGAAGAATTCTTGAAAACGTAGTAATATGATCCAGATTTTCCTTTGTATTTTGTGGACGTAAGGCTCATTGAATTTACCATTCATTCCTTCCCTAAATTGTATTTCAGTTTTTTTTTGGTCCATTAAGATATCTAGGTTTTTTATTTAGCCCATTAGGGCACTGAGGTTTTTATTTTGGGATCTACGTCATTTTCTATAATGTTTATGGAATTTGTCAAGTCGAGGTGACGAGTTTCAATAAAAAATATTTTTTATTAAAATTCATCACATCGATATAAAAAATTTGCATAAAAAATATTTTATTGAAACTCATCACATTGACGTGACGAATTTCATGCACCGTAAAAAATATCGTTGATCCTAAAATAAAAGAGTTTGTACCCTATTTTACAATTTCTTTTTCGGACTGTCCTATTGGGCGAAAAAAACCGTGTATTTCACTCATTGGGCTTAAAACACATACTCAAATGGAATATAAGCATTCCATCAAAATTCATGTATAATTTAATGAGTAAAACTTAAATTTTGATTTTTGTTTTAATCATTAAATTTAAAAAAAATTAATTTAACCACTTAATTTTAGAAATTATATTTTTTTCTCATTCTATCTTTATCTCTGTTATCTCTTTAACAACATCAGAACAGGACTGCATTAGTTATTTTTTAAAAGATATAAAATAAACATAAAAACCTAAAATGATAGTGCTTTGGAGATTGACATTTTATTACCCTTAATAAACACCATCAAATAAAACTTAATACTCTTGATTTTTTTTAGAACATTTGGGAATACGGATTTATAGAAATTGAACGATTATAACATTCAGTCAAAAGTTTTAAGGGGATTTTTATTCTCAGTGAGGATGATTTAGGGTTTGTGAGAAATTGAAATATTTTTATTGATGATGAATTAGAGATTTCATAAGATTTGTGGGGCTGAAATTATCTAAATGTTACATTTGAAGTTATGAAAAATCGTTTTGTATTTGAGGGTATAACATGCATGTGTTATATATATGGTGATTTATATAAATCTTATTTTATTTTGGTATTAAAATTTGGGTAAACTATACTAGTGGCCACTTAACTATAGTCCCTTTTCATTTTTACCATAATTTTTGAATTTTTGTCAATCATGTCACCCAACTATTTAAATGTGTTCAATCAGGCCACTTGATCCTCAATATCTAACGTGGTAGTTAATAAAATTGGTATAATTACACATTTGATCCTCAATATTTATACTTTCTTTGCAGCGTTTGGAGATGAAAACGCCACTAATGGCGACCACATTTGAGGCATTTGTAAAGAAAAACACCACTATATACATAGCCAATAATGACGTTTGTGGTAAAAAAAAAGTCACTACATATCACAACATATAGTGTCATTTGTGGTAAAAAAATGTCTCTACATATCACAACATATAGCCATGTTTATTAGTGTCGTTTGCTTCAAAAATGCTGTTATATAACTGAACTTTTTGTGACGTTTTATGTTCTCAAACGCTGCGAACTGTTGCAACATTTGATTTAGTGGCACTTCTCGCGGCGTTCTTATTAGCGCCAGGAGGGTTTTTAACGATGTTTAAAATATACCGTTATAGGATTTGAAAACGCCGCTATAAAGTATGTTTTTTCAGTAGTGATTAATCGCTTCAAGTTAAATATAACTACAGGGTTGGCCCTGGGCCGGAGCAGGAGGGGCGCCCGCCCAGGGCTCATAACATTTTTCATACCATTCAACAAATAATTAAATTGTTTAGAACTTATTTATTTTATTTCGCCCTGGGCCAAAAAAATATCCAGAGTCGATCATGTATAACTACAAGACATAAAAGATATATCATCACTTTCATAAAATTCTTTAAACTTATGTATGTATGTATGTATGTATGTATGTATGTATGTATGTATGTATGTATGTATGTATGTATGTATGTATGTATGTATGTATGTATGTATGTATGTATGTATGTATGTATGTATGTATGTATGTATGTATGTATGTATGTATGTATGTATGTATGTATGTATGTATGTATGTATGTATGTATGTATGTATGTATGTATGTATGTATGTATGTATGTATGTATGTATGTATGTATGTATGTATGTATGTATGTATGTATGTATGTATGTATGTATGTATGTATGTATGTATGTATGTATGTATGTATGTATGTATGTATGTATGTATGTATGTATGTATGTATGTATGTATGTATGTATGTATGTATGTATGTATGTATGTATGTATGTATGTATGTATGTATGTATGTATGTATGTATGTATGTATGTATGTATGTATGTATGTATGTATGTATGTATGTATGTATGTATGTATGTATGTATGTATGTATGTATGTATGTATGTATGTATGTATGTATGTATGTATGTATGTATGTATGTATGTATGTATGTATGTATGTATGTATGTATGTATGTATGTATGTATGTATGTATGTATGTATGTATGTATGTATGTATGTATGTATGTATGTATGTATGTATGTATGTATGTATGTATGTATGTATGTATGTATGTATGTATGTATGTATGTATGTATGTATGTATGTATGTATGTATGTATGTATGTATGTATGTATGTATGTATGTATGTATGTATGTATGTATGTATGTATGTATGTATGTATGTATGTATGTATGTATGTATGTATGTATGTATGTATGTATGTATGTATGTATGTATGTATGTATGTATGTATGTATGTATGTATGCATGCATGTATGTATGTATGTATGTATGTATGTATGTATGTATGCATGCATGCATGCATGCATGCATGCATGTATGTATGTATGT